TCCAGGCGTGTGCGGCGTGATCTCCCGGCCGTGTCGGCGTGTGCCCGCACCTTCACCTTCACGTCCAGGCGTGTGCGGCGTGATCTCCCGGCCGTCTCAGGCTGTGCTGCCACCCTTTGCCATCAAGCCCACTAGGACGATTTGGAAGCCTCCATGTCGAAAGGGTTTAAGACCAAATTTGCTTTTCATGACTGTTTGCAGATTTGGAACGTTTGTCTTTTCTAACCACCTGGATCCAGGTGTGAGAGCTGTGTGATGCTGGTTTCAAATGGACACTGTGCAGGATGGGCGGCTCTGTGGGGGCGCTCTGTGGAGCTCCGTGTGGGAGGGCGGCTGCCCCCTTGATCCAGAGGGCTTGCTGCCACAACGACTGTGGAATCCTGGGTGTTTGAGTTGGTTTCGGCAGTTCTTTGCCTGCAGCAGGCACCTCGATGCCTTACGTGACAGGTGGAAATCAGATGCCGGCTCGTTATTGAGAGGAGCATGGCGTTCAGACAAGAGCGACAAAGCAGGCTACAGGTGCGGACACTGGTGGCTGCAGAGCAGGCCGTCGTCCTCGGCGCTGCGGACGCCTGGGGCCAAATCGCTCTCTGTGGGGAGGCGTGCTGTGCACTGCAGAACGCTGAGCAGCGTCCCTGGCCTCTGCCCACCAGACGCCAGCAGCACCCCCAGTTGTGACAATCAGAAATGGTATAGACATTACCACCTGTCCCCCGGAGGAGGAAATCGGCCCTGATTGAGACCCAGGTCTAGATGGAGGATCTCTGGGTTTTTATTGTGTTATTTTTCAGATTTCTTCCTAGGTCTGAATTTTTTCAAAATAACAAGTTGGGAACAAATTGTAATCTGCGTGGGAAACTTTGGGAAGAACGTGGAAAAAGTAAAAGTTTTGTGTATCCCCCCTGGTTTGAGTAACACCTGATACCAGTTTGGTGAAGATCCTCAAGGAAAGACTAATAGCAGTAGTGGTCCCCAAGTGGACCGTGTCTCCTACGAAATGATAGCTCTCCGTTACAAAGAGAGAAGCCAGGTGTGTTCAGAGGACATAGAGGTGTGCCGTCCAGAAGGCCCTCGGTGGGGGAAGGTCCGTTCATTCATTCTTCAAATGTACGAGACACTGCATGTCAGCTGGATCTAGGTGGCTTCTAAGATCCTTTCTGAAATTAAGTTCTATCGCCTAGAAAAAGTTGTGTCTGGATTTGTGAGAATGTGTGTAAGAGGCATTTGGGATTTGTAAGCTTTTGGGATGGGAGCAGTGGTGGTGCAGAGGTAGGATTCTCACCTTCCACACGGGAGACCCGAGTTCGATTCCCACCCAGTGCACCTCACGCACAGCCACCACCCGTCTGCAGTGGAGCTGGGTGTTGCTGTGATGCTGAGCAGGTTTCAGCAGAGCTTCCAGTCTAGGTGGACTAGGAAGAGGCCTGGCAATCTGCTTCTGAAAATCACCCGGTGAAAAGCCTGTAGCTCACAGCAGCCTGATCCACAGCCGAGCGTGGGGATGGCCCCGGAGCGGGCAGCGTTTGGTTCCGTTGTGCTTGGAGTCGCCATGAGTCGGGGGCTGGCTCAAGGGAGCTAACAACAGCTGTCTTTCGGTGCTCACTCAGGTCTCTGATGGCCTTTACGTTTTAGTGTTTTTCAGTTAATTCGTATTGTTTTATTTCCATTTTGCATTGGTTTCTTTTTCTTGATTCTTTAGACAAAAATTACTTAGAGTTTACTTCAGGAGTAATTCCAATAACGAACAGAAGGCATGAGCATCATTACTGTGTTTTATAATGGAATGAGGAGAGAAATTAATTGAGTTTTTTCTCTTTAAACAGATTCTTAAAGTCAGTCTTGCAGTACACTGAGAACCTGGCAACTTACACCAGCCAAGAGAAAAACAAATGGGACGAAACCGTCAGTCTTACACATGGAGTGTTGTTGAAAATTTGGACTTACAGTGAGAAGAAACAAATGTTAATGCATTTAGCCGAGAAACCCACAGATAAAGCAGTCTCATGAAAACACTTGTAAGTCAGAGTGGTTTTGGTTATGACAGAAAGCCTTACTTAGATAGACACCCAGAGTGTGTAAACTAAGGCAGGGTGTGTTCCAGGGTTCAGGTTCTGTTGCTGTGAAGTTTCTGATATGCTCTTCCTTGGTTGCCGGCTTGAGCCTCCAGCTACCTTTTTCTGTGGTCACATATTGTCCAGAGGAAGAGAGAGCTTCCTACTCAGAAGTATGTGGCTTTACCCTTAACTGGCCACGTGCTCACTCTGGAAAACAACAAAACAAAACCTCTGTGCCCAGGATAATGCCTTGCACTCACTGCTTCATTCTGAGTGACCCTCTTCCCTGAGTCTCCATTCCTGGACTTCTCTTGAACCAGTCATTGCAGCAAGGAGAGGGCCTGTGCCCCTGGCTTAGGCCAACCACCGCTCATCCCTGGAGCTGAGGATAGGGATAACACAGTGCAGATCTCAGGGGCAGGAGGTAGGGAGAGGGAAATAGGAATGGCAGGGGTGGGTACATTATGGAAGCCAATGGGCTTGTCCAACAGTCAGGGTTTTGTTGGGAGGGCAGAAGCTATTCTATGTATTTTGAATGGATGGATGGATGGATGATGGATGGGTGGGTGGGTGGATGGATGGATGATGGATGAATGGGTGGGTGG